GGGGGTGGGGTGAAGCTATGGGCGTGGCTTGGCACGGAGGGCGTGGCCTGGGCCTGAGGTATTCTGGGTGGCCAATGCCGGAAGTTGGCAAATCGGTTGCTGGCAGAGCCCGGTGCACTTGGCCCACAGCCTGCACGCGCCAAAGTACGGCCTCCCACAATTCTAAAGTCGAACTCTCTTGTCCCTGCATCTCAACAGGTCAAGGCAGGAGACACAGACACCCCAGACATAACTATAGAACCAGAGAGCCTGGAAAATGAGCACCTTCCACTGACCGCCATTAACTGCATTCAAGGACAGCAGTGAAAAGAGTAACCTTCTTCGGATTCGAGAGAAGGAGAGAGGCAACCAAGAAGCTCACCCGGAGAAAGAGGTGTTTGCTGAAAAGATGCCACTGTTTGGAGAGCCCTACAAGACTAGAAAAAGGGATGAGTTGTCGCGTCAGATACAGAACGTACTAGGAGACTACGAAGTTATGAAGGAGTTATGGAGATCTATGTCTTGTACTCTGTGTCCAAATGGTTCTGAAGACAGCCAGGGGAAGCCGAAATATCCTTTATTTCATGACAGGGAGAGCCTTGAATCCAACCCTTGTTGCACGCACATCTACCACAAGCTTTTCTGTACTTCTTCTGCCCCTGGATCACCTTTTGTTGGTAACATTAGCCACAGTTCAAAGATGGCACCACCAAGGATGGAGCCAGTGCCAAGTCCCCATGCCAAAAACTATGGTCCACCCGACAAACAGCATCTGACTCGAGATCTCCTCAGTCAGGAGGGGCACTCTTCAAACCACAAAAAGTGTGACCGCAGAGCTGATGGTGACTCAGCTCCACATAAAAAACTCTCACCCTTAATCTCCCCTGTGTCCCATTTGTCACCTGTACTTTCCAGACTGCAAAGAACCCGCAAGGTTTACAGCAGCAGTAGCACTAGCAATAAAGGCTACTGTGCAGACACGTCTTCCAAGGACCTGAAAGTGAAGGCTCAAGATAACGAGACTCCTCTTGACACTTCAGTGGTCATTACCAGACTTGGGGTGGCCTCTTCTCAAACGTTTCCACCCCCTCCTCTCCCCTCAGAAAGTATGCAATGCAGCAGAAGCCCATGGACGGTCAGAATCAGGCTCCCAGTGAGTCCTTGGGCCTGAAGCTGCCACTGGAAGACAATGGTCAGCAGAGCTTCGAAAAACTGGATGTAAAATTGCCAGCCAAAGCCAAACTCACCAGACTGAAGATATCTTCACAGTCGGAGTTGGTGGAGCAGTTGTTCTCCAATGAAGTCCGCTGCATTGAGGAGATTCTGAAGGAAATGACCCATTCGTGCTCCCTCCTCTGACAGCCAAGCATACACCCGGTATGGCCAATACTAAGCATACACCCAGTACGGCCAAGTCATCCAGATCTCCTTTCCCTACAAAGGAGCCTCTGCCCAATAGTTCTGCAACTCAAATCCAAAATCAATATGATCCACCTTCCAAAATTTATCCCAATTCCCAGCAAGGAACATCCATACTCTGGGAGGACCTGCAGCTCAGTGATAGTGAAGAGAGCGACACAGAACAAACTACAGAGAAGCTTCCATCCCTCTCTGCACCTCCAAGTGCTCTCCAGATTCTCCCCAAGCCCGTGGTGTCAGCACATTCCAGTAGTGCAAAGACGGAGAGCAGCAGCAGCAGGTTGGACTCAGATTCAGATTCAGACTCCGAGACAGACTCGGAGAGTGAGAGCAGCTCATGCCATAGCAAGGAGAGTGAGCCCCTAGAAATCCCTGCTCCAGAGCCCAAGACTCCGACAACAAACTGGTTAACCAAAGTGAAGCAGCCACCAGTGCTCCTTGAGGCTCGGGGGAGCACTGAGTCTCCAAGTGGGTACCAGGAAAATAAGGGTGAAAACCGCAACACTGACCAGCTACATCCTGAGTCCAAAGGCTCTTCCCCCAAGAGTTCCAGCAAACTGTCCAAGATCCCACTGAAGGGCCCCAACCTGAGGAGAGGAGCTGCCTGAAATCCCCTGCCCAACAGGAGTCCCCACCTCAGCAAACTATTGAAACCAAACAACCCAGAAAACCTGCCAAGGGCTCTGGCCAGGCAGAGCCCCAGGCCTGTTTGCAGGTGGAAAGTAAACCAGGACCCCTTCCTTCTGAATCAAAAAAACAGACTTCCAAAGACAAACCCAAGATGAAGGCAAAAGGCAGGGAGCCTAAGCCTGAAGCTGGCATGCCCAACCATCAGGCATCCGAACCCGCCCCTATGGAGAAAAGGAAGCACAAGGGTTCCCTGGCTCCCTCAAAGGTGCCCTCAGGCCCTCAGGCTCCAAAGGACAAAGCTCAAAACAGGAACTCTTTCACTCTGCCTCACAGTGGTAGGGGCTGCAGTGGCAGCAGCAGTGGCAGGTCTAGAGACTGCCAACAAACTGCAAATGTCCAGGAAGATGGTCAAAAGAGAGACACCGAATTGCTCTCACCGCTCAGGGACTCTCCACTACCAACGAGTTTGGTAGTGAAGA